CTTACCTCTGACCCAGGCCCTGAAAACCAGCCCCATTGTGACCCATCCCCTAGGATGTCACAGGTCCAAAGCCATCACAGACACTCCCAGCCCTACCCTGGCTCTGCAGCTCACAGCTGCCCCTGGCAGCCAGAGTCTTGAAAGCCTCAAAGGACAGACACACCTGGCAGGACAGGTAACAGGGTAGGATACAAGGTGGCTACTTCATACCAGGTGAGAAGCTGCTAGAAGTTCCCTTCATGTCTGACAGAGCCAATGCCAGCCAGCTCCAAGACAGACCCACCACTGGCCAAGGCCAAGGCCATCACTGATTGTAGTAGCACCTCAGGATAACATATTTAAGAAGGGGGAGAAAAAAAATTGTGCAACACCAGCAGCTAGGAAATAGAAGTGAGAATAGGGAAGAGAAACAACTCTGCAGACCCCAGGTCAGAGAAGAAGGAAGGGGAGTAGGAGAAAGAGAAGATCCAGGCACCAGGGCAGAGATTCCCCTGCAGTCCATAGCAAAGATCATGGTGAGTCAAGATGTGGCCCTGCAGCCCATGAAAGTCTGTGGTGGAGCAGACAGACATCTGTGAATATGCCTGAAGGAGGCTTTGACTCTGTGGGAAGCTCATGCTGGAACAGACAACAGTGTAAAGAACCTTCCCCTAAGCAGGAATGAGTGATACTCCCCACAACCCCCATTCCCCTGTTTCCTCTATGTTTTTGAGAATCTTATATTTTCTACCTTTGACAACAGATAACCCAAACTGAAATTAATTGGAGCAAGTTATTTCAGACATATTTTACACAGTAAAACATATTTGTTCCTAACAACATTTTGTGTCATTTTTCCTATAAGAGAAATGAAATCATAACCTTGGTGTCATTGCAAGCAAACACCCTGAGCCTTCTCTTCTCCAGACTGGACAGTCCCAGCTCTCTCAACTACTCATTAAAAGAGAGATGCTTCAGTTATCTTTACAGCCCTTAGCTGGTCTCTCTCTGGTACGTCCCTGTCTCTCTTGTACTGAAGAGCTCAGAGCTGGACACCAGCACTCCAGGTGCAGCCTCACCAGCGCTGAATAAAAAGGGTAGGATCCTCTTCTACAATTGGCAATATTCCTCTAAGGCAGCCCAGGACACCATTTGCTTTCCTTGCTGCTACACTGGACAGTTTGATGTCCACCAGGACCTCCATGTCATTTGCTCTCAAGCTGCTTTCCAGCTGGTCTTTGCTGGCGCCTGGGGCTGTTCCTCCCCATGGGCCAGGCTTTGCACTTTCCCTTGGAGAACTTTTTTCGGCTACCCTTGGCTCATTTCTCCAGCCTGCTGAAGTCCTTCCTCCTGGCAGCACAACTCACTGGAGTATCAGTCACACCTCCCACTTTTGTGTCATCAGCAACTAATTAGTTGACTTTTGTAAAGGCACGAAAAAGTGTGATATAATTGATTAAACAAAACAAAACCAACAACCAACCAACCCAAACTGGAATAATGTTTCACCATAAAAAAAAATTCATCAAACATTTGCTAACATGGCTTTTTGTAGAACTTTGCTGTTAAATTCAGTATTCACTCCATTATAAAACTATTAACTTCTCCAATTCAAGCATGAGGAAAAGGTACTATATGATCTTGGTTTTGCCAGTAATCTATGCTCGCAAGAAAAGTCTAGCATGGAGGAAGAAGAGGCAACACCAAACAGAAAAGCTGCTGGTTAACAAGATTTAAAGACATATAGCCTCATTAAGACATTAATAAGACACAGAGCTCTTTGTAGGGGTGGGCAGCATGGGGGATGTTGTTCAAAGTCCATTTGCATTAGCAGGTTTCAAAGATTTCTTCTGAGCCAAATCACAGAGTTGGGCACCAACAGCAGGGAGTTTAACAAGGGCAAGTTCTAGATTCTACACCTGGGATGGGGCTACCCTGGATATATGTACACAGACTGGGAATGAGAGGCTGGAAAGCAATGCTGCAGAAAGGGACCCGGAGATCCTGGCTGAAGAAAGCTGAATGTGAGTCAGCAGTGCCCAGGCAGCCAGGAGGACCAGCCATGTCCTGGGGTGCATCAGGCACAGCACCAGGCAAGGAGGGGATTGTCCCACTCTGCTCTGCACTGCGGCGGCCTCACCTTCAGTACTGTTGTCCACAAAAATTTATTTATTACTTGGTGTACAACAAGCCAGTAATAACACACTTGAGAGGGACATTGACTATTTATTTCAAAACTGCACAAGCCAGGGTGCCTGGTGGAATTCCACAAATCAAGCACACGGACTACTAAAACGTTTTACAATTTATACAGTTTAGCAGATAAAGGAATTAGTGTTCATTGGCTAATAGTTACATAGTTTTCTTATGAATTAATATTCTACTACTGGCTAACAATTCTCTTGCTTCTTATCCTAATTAGTCCAACGCCCAGTCTTTCTCTTCTTTTGGGTCAATGGTCTCTGAGTTGGAAGTTGCAGATCTCCCCCTGCTGGAATTACCTTTCACTCAGTTGGAGCTGCTTTCAGCACAGTTGCTGAGTTGACTTTATTAGTTGTTCCCTTATCTTCAGAGTTCTACCAGATGTCTTTGTAGGTCATAAATTTTGCATTCTTTGTGTCCAGTATCAGCAGGGATCCTTTTTCCCAAGCTTTGTTAACCTCCCCCTCAGTCTCAGATCATTGAAGCACGTCAAGCCCCAAACTTTAACAAGGCAATTCTACAAACAAGTAATTTGTTCTTCTAGATAGCATAGATATCACAGATATTACTTATTAATTAGAGTTTGCTTGTTAGCTGCTGTTTCACAAGTTAAACCTCTCTTGATGATTGGACTTGAAAGTATACAAAGATCAAACATGAAAGAACATCCTTTAAAAGGTGTTTACAAAATCCAAATTTTGCAACAGTCCTGTGTGCAGGTTTGGGCACCCCAATATAGAAATGACATTAAGCTCTTACAGAGGGTCCAGAGGAGGGCAGGGAGGATAGTGAAGGCCCTGGAGAGGAAGCTGAGTGAGGAGTGGCTGAGGCCACCTTTTCTGTTCGGCAGGGAGGACACTGAGGGGACACCTCATTGCAGTTCACAATTTCCTCATGAGGGAAAGTGCAAGCTCATGCACTGATCTCTTCTTTATGGCATCCAGTGACAGGACTCGAGGGAATGGCCTGAAGTTGTGTCAAAAGAGGAGTAGGTTGGTTATCAAGAAAAGGTTTTCCAACCAGAGGGTGGTTGGGCCCTGTAACAGGGTCTCTCGGATTTTCCAACCAGAGGGTGGTTGGGCCCTGGAACAGGCTCTCTCGGGAAGTTGTCACAACACCAAGCCTAGCAAGAGTTCAAGAAGCATCAGAGCAATGCACTCAGGACAAGGTGTAACTTGTGAGGTGCCCCGTGCAGGAGCCGGACCCGATGACCCTGACTGAACCCATTCCGACTCGGGATATTCCCCGCCTCCCCGAACATGGCCGCCAGCGCGGCCAGCCCCGGCGAAGCCGGGCGTGCGAAAAAAGCCCCGCCCCTTCTCACTCTTTCCTCGGCGCTGATTGGTCGGAGGGGCGCGCGCGGCAGCCGGTAGCGGAGCGCCCCGCCCCCCGGCGGTTGGCTTGCGGTTGCCGCGGCAACCAGGGCCCGGCGGCGCGCGCGGGCCGGGAGCTGAGGGGAGAGCGCAGCCGGAGCCGGGCCGGGGGCGCTTCCTCCCGGGAAAGCGCCTGGAGCGGATCTCGGCCCGTGCCCGCCGTCAGAGCCGCCCTCCCACCGGCCGTGCTGGGAGGCGGTGGGTGGCGGGGCCACGGGACGGGGAGGGCGGTGTGAAAGCGCGCGGCTGTAGGTAGGAAGGGGCTGGGCGACTCGCTTATTCTGCTGGGTTTGGAAGAAGGACTGAGAAGGGGCTCTGAAAAGTGTTTTTATATAAAAATCAAGAAAATCACAGTAGAAAAACAGGCAACTCACAATGTCCTTTCAGCTCTTCTTCATCCCTACTTTTTAAAATAAAAGTTAAAAGCAAATCCCATATGGATAAAGGAAAGCTACTGAGCTTCAGATTTGTTTACTAAGAAAGGAAGTTTCTTCTGCCTTCACAGCCTCGATCTTGGCTTTTCTTCAATTTCTCCTCATTGTAATGCTGGCAGGCAGGATTCTCTGTGCCAGGTTTAGCACTGGGATGCTTTTTGCTGTCTCCTCTGTTGTTCTGATACACTACTGTGGGGCTTTTGTGTCTAAGCTATAATACATAATATACATTGGTATATTTACTGGCTAAATAGGTGACCTTTCTATTCTGAGTCACTATGTCTTTATCCCCAGATCGTTTATGCATCCTGTTCAAGATTAGCTGTTTGCCTTCTTCCCTCTCCCCCATTCTGTCGTTTAAAAGCTCACTTATATGAGCCAGAGTTTGGAAGAAAAAAAGTTGGTATTGTTGTGGGAGCCTCTATAGTATGCCTTAGTGGGAAAAACTCACAGTTTTTGACAGTGCAGAACATGCAGTTGTGTGCATGACAAAAGTGCTGTGCAGATATATAATGAGTCCTGTAGCTTAATACCACCTCTCACAGCCTGTAAAACCTGTTATAGAGTCTCCTGTATTTTCTGATTTATAATCACATTATGAGCTTCCATTAACTAACTACTCTGTGTGAGAATTATGCCTGCTGTGGAGCATTGTGCTCATATTCCTTGAAAAAGACAAAAACTAGGATATAATATTCTTAAGCAAACTGAATCAACAAATCAAATAGAAAAAATGTTTTAAATATTTATTAATACACCAAAAACTTGATAAAATATCAGCAATAAAAGGGGTAGGATTTTATAAGCAACATAGTATCACTGTAAATGAAAAAGACATTGGTGAGGATATGTCAGATTTGAAGTACACATGAAAGCTTTGTTGAAGATCTGGGATACAAGTAGTATAACATTTTCCTTCTTGTTTTTAAGGCATTCTGTAATACTACTTAGAAGAGCACGTGGAATACAGTATTAAAAGAAGCAGTAGAGCAGCTTGACCTATTACAGAACCATGGTTCGACTAACAATGGACCTAATTGCTAAAAATGCCAGTCACAAGAATCGTTCTGAAGAGGATTTTGGACAATATCTGCAAAAATTAACTCATCTGAATTTGTCAGATAAAAATATAGATTCAATTGTAAGATTTAATTTTTATTATTCCTTTTAAACTGGCTACTCTAATGTTTTGTAGTTACTGTTATGATGAGGTGTTGGAGAGACAAACAAGGAAAGCCAAGTTGTACAAATTTGTTAATTCACAGCACAATCTTTTCAATCTATCTGTGATTTATTCCTTAAATTTCAGAGGAAGTCTGAGAAAGGAAAGGAGAGTTCAGGAACAGGAAATAACCCGAGTGAGGTTAACAAATTTGGACTGGTGTAGTGGCTTTTTCAAATTAGCCCAGTTAAAAATATACTTTTTTTTTAATTGCTCCCTGGGGCTTACTCATTTAAAAAATAAACCACGAGCTTTTCATTTTCAAAGACTAAACCTGCAAACTTAACCCAGTCCTCCTTCCTCTGAGTTTAATAATAGGAAATGTATGCAGATTTCAATAAGTTCTGAGTTAATTCAGATCCCCTCAAGATACTGAGTAAATTTTGAAACTGCTGAGCCCCGACAACTGCATTGTTGAATGTGGTGAATTTCTGCTCTAAAAGTGTGATTTCAGTCAAGAAGAAATTGCTTGTTCTGTGTGAACAGATCCTGCAAACACATGGGTTAATTCAGCCCCCTCCTATGCACAGCCATAGGGAGTCAGTAACTGGATCAGTCCATTTGATGAGGTCTGCTTCATCAGCTGCCACAGCAAAGAAACTTTCATGGCAAGTGGTCTTTTAGTTGTTTCATAGGAATATGTTCAAAGAAACTCAACATTTGAGTGTAAACTTGAGTTCAAAAATATATTAAAACAGATTGAAGTTCAAGGTTTTGTAAAAACCAATAATTCTTTGCCAAGAACTGGTTTCCAGTTACATCAGTGCAGTTTAATGGAGACAACTATACAAAAAATTGTGCTTTTCTGAAATCTATCTGACTAATGGATTCATCTGATGATGAATCCCTGATGAAGACAGGGATGGGAATGAAGTCACACTGGATGTGGTGTATTTGCTGGTGATACCTCAGATTCTGCTGGTAGTCCTCAGATTCTGTAGGGCAAAATAGTAATGACAGATTTCAGTCTTTAATCTGTAGATAACTGACAATATATAATAACTCTGGTTTCTAGGAAAAATAGTTTTAAGAAATGTTTACTAAAGGTGAAAACTTATAAATCATGCATCAGAACTTAATTACGAGAACAATCAACAGCTTCCAGAAGCAGGCAGTGACTGAACATTAAGTAGCATGTTATTTTTTATTTCAGGGTGACCTCTCTTTCTGTAAAAATCTGAGAGTTCTGTATTTATATGATAACCAAATCAACCAAATCCAGAACTTGAACTTTGCTTCAAACATAACGCACCTTTACCTTCAGAACAATCGTATTTCAAGTATAGAAAATCTCTCATCGCTGAAAAAACTTGAAAAATTGTAAGTTGAAAATAATGTATTCATTTTACTAGTAAAAAGAATATTTATGACACTTAAGAATTTTTTTTAATTATGTAGCCATTAAAGTCCTTTCAGCTCTTAAATTTTGCTTTTCAAATAGAAGTAATTGCTTATTTTTTTTAATGAGACGTTCTATGGTAAAAGTAATGACATACCATCTTGACATATATATTTGCATTTAAATTATTTTATTTTTTCAGTCTAGTAATATTAATAATAACAGCAGTAGATGAAGCTGCAAAAAACTGCTTGAATCAGTTAAGTGTATATTCTACTTGTATGCTAGGTTATTTACTTTATCTATCATAATTTCCAAATATTATTCAATAATACTTGGAAAATATTTTTCTCCATATATTGAAGCCTTGTGTTTGCTCTTACTTTCAAAGGATATTAAATCTATTTTGTGTTCTATTCTGTAGGTATTTAGGAGGCAACTATATCACTGTAGTAGAGGGTTTAGATAAAGTAGGAGAGCTGAGGGAGCTACATATTGAAAGTCAACATCTCCCTGTTGGTGAAAAGCTCCTGTTTGATCCAGTATCTCTTAACTCCCTGGCAGTAAGTATATTTTGAGAATTAAAATGAGCCAATTATCAGGAGATCAGTATTTTTAGGAGAAATTATTAGGAGTTGATCATTCTGTGTTTTCCTCCTTTGCCAATTGGTGGCATTATTTCAAATTCTGCCAAGAGACTCCCAACCTATTTCTCTTATAAGGCATCCAGCAAATTCTACTTCATCTTTTTTTCATTACGAAGGATGAAAATGAGAATCAAGAGAGAGAGGAAATAAGGATGTATGTGGATGCCCTATACCAACAGAATGTGAATTAACTAAAAAAGGGGTTGGAATTTATCACTTAATTTTCTTAGTCTGTTTCATTTGTAGTGAATTAGTTTATTGATATTTCAGTGATTTGATTGGTATAGTTGTTTATTTACTGCGTGTTGTATTCTGTAGAAAAAGGGAATGCAAAAAAAAAAAAGGCACAAACAGATTTTTCTTCCTGGATATAAAGAACAACACAATCAAAAGCATTCCAGTTTAGTTCTGCAGTTCTTCTATGTTGTGTTATGTCAAGAGTTCAGGAAATCTCTTTGAAGTTGTCTTTCAACATGTTAATTGCTCATAAAACATATAGTTGAAGAGGTTAAAAAGTAGGATTTATTTGCTAATGGATGTAGTTCTGCACTGTAAAAATTCCTCTTGCTGTATCTCCCCTAGTGTAGTCAGGGCTTGATAAGCCTTTTTTTGTGAAGATGAAAAACTCACTAAAAAGTGAGTTCTTTTGTTCACATGTATATCATAAATATTTGACCTAGCTCTATTTTTTTTCCTGTTTTGAGATTATGTAATCCAAGACATGCATTGCTGTTTTTCTTTAATAGAAATGAGTCATTACTGTGAGAGCATTTGTACTTTGTTCCTTCTATATTGGAGAAATTATCAAAGTAAAGGGAAGTTTTACAGCTGTAATCTTCCCAGGATAATAATGTATAATAAATTCTTCCGTGTTTTTCAGCAGCCTGGTCTAGATTTTGTTCTTTGTAGATTTTATTTAAGGCCTTTTGATGTGAGGTTTGTTTTGTTTTCTGTGAAACAACTTTGCATTCTTGATTACGCAACATCTTTGTGGAGGCTAAATGAAAAAATATTCTATTTTATCCTTTAAGTGCTAAGTGTTTGGAGCCTTTTTAAGGCATCACTTTTTATTTCTTAATCAGTTTCTGGCTCTTTTAATGGTGTCAGAGATAAAAGAGAGAAAATCCTGAAGCCATATAGCTCTGTGTGTACCACAGGCAAATGTTTGGATGATGACAATGTCATGAATCTGACTGAGAAGATTAAGTTTATGAGCAGTGTTTATCAGGATGATACTGATAATTTCCGCCTGCAATGTAGATCTTGGTCAAATTTTTGAAGGGGGTTAGTTTTCCTGTATAAACTGCTGAAACAGAGATTTCCAAATAATGGTAAGTCTTATATCTTGTATAATTCTAAACTCATTGGATTAGTCATTTTCTAGAGATATAAACTTTTTCCTTTTATGTGAAACTACATTAGTATTTCCTGAGATAAACACCTAAAACACATTTAGATTTTTATCTAAAATGTAAAGATCTCTATAACTATTGTCTGTTACAAATGGCAAAGTGCAATATGTGGCTCAGTAGTGTTCCAGAGAAGGGGTAAGGATCAGAGGTATGGATACCCAGAGGTTTGGAGGATCAGGCCTGGGAGAAAAGCAGTGTAGTCCAGCTGTTAAATGAGACTGTGTGGGTAGCACATATGGGCTTCAGCTCTGCAGTTCAGCTGCAGTCTTGGGGCCCACAGTACAAGAAGAACATGGACCTGCTGGAGCAAGACCAGAGAGGGCCACAGAGAGGATCAAAGGCCTGGAGCACCTCTCCTGTAAATACAGGCTGAGAGAGTGGGGGTTGTTCAGCCTGGAGAAGAGAAGGTTCCAAGGACACCTTATATCACCATTCCCGTACCCAATGGGGGCTTATAAGAAAGCTGGAGAGGCACTTTTTACAAGGGTGTGTTGTGATAGGACACAGGATAATGGCCTGAAACTGATCAAGGGCAGGTTTAGATTAGCTATTAGGAAGAAATTCGCTGCTTGTGACTGTGGTGAGACACTGGAACAGACTGCACAGAGAAGCTGTGGATGCCCCATCCCTGGAAGTGTTCAAGGCCAGGTTGGATGAAGCTCTGAACAACCTGGTCTCGTGGAAGGGTGTCCCTGCTCATGGCAGGGGGCTGGAACTAGATGATCTTTAAGGTCCCTTTCAACCCAAACCATTCTATGATTCTATAAAAATGCAGTCAGTTTCAATGTATGTTTCATACTTCAAAAGTTTGTAGCACTTGCAGAACTCTGTAAGGAATTTGAATGTGTTTTAAAAAACCCAAAATTTCTGTATTTACTAAGAATTTCTGAAATAATTGAGAAACAGTCTTATTTTGGTTTCACTTCAAAATAAATTACGTTTTAGGACAAGGTGGAACTCCAACATAGAACAATCTGTATGGTGTGTGGAGGTGGTGTTTGCATGTTTCTTCTTCATATGTTTGTTCATCTTTTAAGATAATTTTCTGTAATAATTTACAACTTGACTCATACATGGTATGAAAAAAATATTTCTTTTTCTGCTTTTCTTCCTTCAGAAATCTTTGTCTGTATTGAATATCAGCAATAACAACATTGATGAATTAGAAGAACTGGCAGTTTTGGAAAATCTTTCTTATCTTAAAGCAGTCGACAACCGACTTAAACATATGAAGGTATTAAAGTAAATATTTGTTATATTAAGTATGGGTGTTCAGGAATTAGTCACAGTCATCTTTATCACTAAATATGTAAGTAAAAAGAAATTTTACTTCTGCAGTTACTAAATCTGGCTTGTCAAGCATGCTGTCTTTTCTCATATAAAAATCTTACTGAGACTAAAAATGGAGAAGCATTTACCTAGGATGTAAAAATTTATACATTTATTAATTAATACTGAAATGAATTGGCTTAAATAGTAACGCAAATCACCAAGACAAAGTCTTGATTGAAATAAACTCTTTCATTTCTGGTTTGCATAAACATTTTATTTCCTTAGTAAAGTTAACTTTCTTTGGTTAGTAATTATTAAAATAACTATTCTTATTACTTCTGAGAACATGACATATTTTTAACAGATTGTTGAGAGAATTTGGCAATTCTCTGTACTAATGAGGAGATTGCAGTATTTTGTATGCATAACTTATCAGTTATCTAGATGAATTTACTCTATTTGGACTCTTCATTTTTTTACACTATAATATTAAAAAATGTTGAGTGATGCTCTTCTTTTTTACTATAGAACCATTAATGCTTTGTATTTCAAGTCCTGACTGGCAGTTGTGATTGAATTTACATCAAAATACAATTCATGTAGGCTTTTGCTGAGTAATTAAATTCACATTGAATATGTTGGTTGCATCAAAATAGCAAAGAGCTTTTTTCGAATAGGCAATCTCCCCAAATATTCCCTTTTTAAAAGGAATCAATTTCTGAATAAAACATATTACAAAAAAATTATATTGGCTCTTTCTTTCTTATAAATAAAATATACTTCTGTTGTGATGCTCTTAAAAGAAAATTGTCGTAGCCAAAGAACCAATTAATTTTAAGAATGAGGATACCAGTTTGGAGACAGAATTTTCAGTATCTTAGAAGAAAAACCAGTATCCCCTGAAACAGAATGAGGAGAGGACAAAATGACTGCATTATTCAGTAACTGTGTATATGTTATTTATTCTTTATTAAATATCATTATTTAATCATCAGGAAAACCAGAGTTACATATACCCAAACCAGTTAGACCTGAAGATTTCTATGTTATATAGTCACAGCTGTTGAAAAATGATACAATTAGCATTTGAGTTTGCTATCTATTAAACTCATATTAAGCTCCAGTATATTTTGAAAGTGACTGTTCTGTGTGTTTTCTATACAATCTCCAAGTTTTGAAATATATGGAACAGGGAAGGTGTTTCTATTCATATATTTGCAGACCTGTAAAATTAATGAATGTATCAAATGTGTTTAATATACAGTGTAATGCAGGTGGATATCCAGCTTTCCAGCTACAATTACTGAGTTTTAAGGGATTACATTTTGGTAAGCTCTACTTATCACTAATATAAATTATTAAATAAATAAAAACCAAACTGTTGAAAAAAGCAGTAAGCCATGAAACGTATTTTTTAAAAAGTCAGTTTTAACTCTGTGTAAGAGGCTTTAGCTCACAGTGCACATCTAGCAGGAGAACAATCATAGACAGCCACTGACTGTTCAAAGAATAGATGAGGGAAGTTTTGAGTATATTTCAATATTTTTTGCATCCTTGAATTTCATGATTACATGGCATACATTATTCTACAGCTGTGAAAACTGCAAGGATTTTAGAGGTATACAGTTTTATACACTTAATTGGTTCTACTGGCTGAACTTGTTACATGCAGCAAAGGCTCTTTCATTCCCACATGAGCTTCCTCCCTTCTCCTCCCTCTTGCCCCTCTCTTATCAAAACTCTGATGTATACCTGTATACATGCCAAAAGCACTACATCCCGTTTTCCCTTTCTTGCTTTGCCATCACTGCCATCAAGAACTTCCCCAGGAATGTCTGGCATTGATCAGAGATAGTGGCAGTGCCGCATGACAGGGAAGTGTTGCAGAGCTTTGTACCCAGCTGTGCTTCACCTGGTGGGAAGAGAAGCTGTAGAGGAGCTACCTGTGTCTGAGCAGGTCTGGTGAACTGCAGGAATAACATGGAATCTTTGAGAAAGAGAAAAATATGAAGGGCTTAAGAAATATATGAAATACAATCTTATGTAGACTTTTCTCACATTTGTGTATAATTATTTTATATTTAAACATTTTTCTCAGTTTTTTCACTTTATTATGAAAACCCATATTCCTTTGCTTTCTTACCTATGCCACTTTGATTTCAGCATAGTTGAAAATTAGGACTAATAAATTCAATAAATTCAAGCACTTAAGGTCTTGGCTAATACAGGGCTTTGTTAACATAATTAACAGATATCAAGGCATATGGCCTTGTTTCATTCGACTGAAGTTTATATAATTCAGTCTGAACAGTAGACAGATGAAAATCAAGTAATTTTTCTGAATTCATGCAAAATAACTATGACTAGCTACCACATGCAAAAAGTATGTCTCAGGTCAGTTATCAAGAATATAATTGATTTTCATAGAAGTGGCTTTTATTTGTTTTCTATTGCTCGCTACTTCATTTATTCATTGTCTTGAGGTTCTGGTTTGCTTTAGTCGGGATCACAAGGTATTCTAGACCACAGTGTATTTGGGTTGGAATTAAGGAAATTTTTTAAAACACTATGTCTATTAAAAAAACCCCACAATTATTTCTTTTTACAAAAAGCCAGAATATAATTTATTTATTAAGTTCATTCGTTTTGGAAATATTATGAGTTGTGAGTCTTTGGATAGATAGAAAAAAATATAGCTAGAAATACTTGGAAAAATCTGTATTTCCCAAGTCTTTAATTTATTCAACCTCTGCCCAGTATTGATTATGACAAGAGGATATCACAAAAGATGAATTTATTCGCTTTAGAATTGAGTCAGGAACAAGAGAAAAATTATAGATTTTCTCAAATAGATTATGACAGGTAATCAAACTGGTGACAAATGGCTGTCTGTAGATATAGCTGGGGCAGTTGGATTAGACGTTTCCAATAAAAACTGGAGCATACTGGTCAAATACCAATTCTTAAATGGCCACTGTTAATTGGTAAGAAAGTTATTGCCAGCACTACAGCTGCCTACTCAGGCACTTACCCTTCCCCCTCTCCACCCTCCCCAATGGAATATAATTTGCTCGTCAGTATTTTGTAGCAGACCTCAAAGTGATAGCATGACATGATCATTTATCAAACGGAGCCTGCCCAGAAGAGTGTCTGGTCCCTTTAGTACAGCTTATTGAAAGGCTGGGAAGTGAAAGCACTTTATTAGAGACAGGAAGGCAATGAACAACTAGAGCGTATCGAAAGGGTAATCATATTTCAGCACAGGATTAGTGTGCTCTTAGATAAACATACACTGGAGTAAGCATGTTCAGGGTCATTTATCAAGTAAGTAACAGCTAACAAAAATCTACAGGACTCTGTATACATTCATCAAAGTTAAACTGTATACATTTTCTTTCACTAATAGACAACTTTGTGTTGCAAAACTATTACTTGGAAAAATTCTTTCTAATGAAATCTAGAACACATTATAGACTTCAATTATAGTATCTGAATGCTTAGGTAAGGATAAATAAATATACTTGCTAAATTATTTTTTTTAGTAAGTCTAGCCTAAAATATTTTGCCCCTGAATTTTGTTTGTGATTAAGTGTTAGCACCTAAACTATGGGGGTTATCATGTTTCTATCCTGATACTTATTGATTAAGCTTTGCTGAATACCATTACGAGAATTATTAACATTTCTTCATGTGGACTAGTCCTCAGAGTTTCTTGCATTGTTTTATCCATTTTGATCATCACAGAACCAGACTTTTGCTCTCTAGTTTTCTAAAAATACATTTTTATCACTGAATAACAATAGATGATATCACCATCATCATAGATAGACTAAAAATTGTATGATTTGGAGGTATGAGGCTGTGCTGCCACTTTCTCTTCCACATGATTTTTCTAAACATATATTATATAACTGATAAAATATTTCAAAGAGGATTTTCTACTGAGGGAGATAAGTCAGCAAAAGCAGAATTCTCCCTGCTTGTGTTACCCATGCAATTTTCTAAATTTGAAGGAGCTGAGAGATATCTACATTGTTAGAGACTTCATTGTTGGCATCAAGCTACAAAATTTTACACACTCTGCAGTTTAGAATCCATCACAGCATGATCAGTAGAATTTTCCAAATAATTACAACAGTAGAACATAAATCCTCTCTCCTATTTCTACCTATGTCTTGAATCCCTCCTTAAGCTTTTCACACATACAAGGAAAACCTGTCAAGAATGAAAGTTAAATGAAATTTTGGAAAGAAAGTGTTTCAGAAAATAAGGTGTCTGAGTAGAAAGGACCAATCAGATAAACTTTACATGTTTTCAACTTGAATTTATTGTATTTAAAAGACAGAGTAGTTTCATCTAGGTCATACTGCCCCTGGGTAACCAGACAGAAATAGAGATGGAGAAAGGTATATTTCACTAATTTCACTGTGTAGGCCAATACTGTAACTGACCACCCACAGTTAGGTAAGGGGGGATTACTGTTTCTCATGTAAAATACAGTTCTACATATATATAAAGAGAGAAGCAGTCCACTGTGGATTGCATGATTTTTAGCTTTTTTTTTTTAGTCTGTACTTTATCTCTGTAAAGTATTTATTCTTCCCCACACTGATACTCTTAAAGGCTCTGTGAGACCTTGGAGGTGCATTAACAGACATTGTGTATAATACGAATTTTTTCATTGGTAGTTCCTAGGCTTTGGGTGCTTATCAGTGGTCTTGAAGTGGTAATTTTCCACAGCTGGCATTACTGTATCCTTAAAAATTCAGCATCTTCCAACATCATTGTTTCTTCTGTGCAATTTTGATATATTCAGGGGATGCTGTGAACCAGTCTGTTTGAAAATGCACATTATTAATGTGCATAATACATGTGAATAGTCTCATTGAAGATATTTCTGTGTGCAGGATTTGGGCCTGGCTGAACAAATCACATTACTGTTGAATTTTACTCTGGAGGGGGAAACACAATCACATTGTTCTGTTATTGTTTCAATTGCAGGATTTGGAGGTTGTATTAAAAAAATGGACAAAGCTACGCAGAATAGATCTTACAGGAAACCCCATCTGCCAAAAACCAAAGTACAAGGATAGGATTATAGTACAGTCACTGACTTTAGGTAAAAAATTAAATCAATAGCCCACCCATAACCCCCATTCTTTTAGGAAACAACTGAAAAATTAATTGTTCTTGAGTAGCACTATGCATATAAGCACAATTACTGCTATAGATATTTATGTCAAAACATGAATTTTAAATTTATGTAGAAAGCTACATAAATTTAAAAAAAAATTTAATGATTAAAAAATAATTTAAAATTATTTTATTCAGATAATTATTTAAATTATTTCTTTAATTATATATGTAATTATTTTAAATTATTTAATTCTTTAATTAAAAAATTAAAAATTAAAGCTTGTGTAATCAGCTTTACAAGCCATCTTGTTTGATATTAGTCGTAATAATAATTTGTTTTATAATAGATGATTGGTGAGATTGTTACAACACAGTTTTTTGTGTTCATATTCCAGATGTTGTGAAACAGATTTTCAAAGATCAGTTTTATCTATTCCCCTAATTTGTAGTAGTTGCTAAAGAGTTTTTGTTGTACAGTGCCAGTTGTGCAGATCCCCACCGTACTGTGTTTGAATTTGCCACATAACGTTCATCCTTAAACTTATAAGCAGTTCACACTTATGTTGTGAGTGTATTTGTTAATCTTAACCCTTATGGTGCAGTTTTTATTATTATTGTGCATAAAATTTTAGCATGAAAGGAAGAAACTGATTCTTCTATATCTAAATATTTATACTGTAGAAATAAGTAAAAAAAAATGCTAATTTTTTCCTTTTTTTGGGTAAAGGTGGCAATTATTTTTAAAGCTATAATTGCAGAGCTTGGTTTTTCTCAGAGCACAAAATATTGGCCATTTAGAAAAAGAAAAAGCCTATCTGCACAATGAAAATAACAGTGCCTTAGGACAGTACTAATGCAACCTAAATTTGTGGCCACAAGAGGTATTTCATTTGGGCTGACTCAAAAATGCAGATGCAACCAATGAGTCATAGAGCATAAGGTTTATGGTACCTAAGTGAGTAAAGTTAACCTTAGAGAGGCAAATCTGTGTGACTGTCTCCATGATCAATAGAATTCCTTGATTGCTAAGATGTGCTGTTTCCCTCTCCACCTGGATTTCTGCATCTATCTATACCCTGTGTAAGAGCTTAACTTTTCTGCAGAATGTTCTAGAAAGTCTTGCATGTTAACCAAACATGAAATATGTATATTACCTTTGAAATTTATAAAAACTGTAGATTTTTTTTGTAATTAAGACATATTAACTCTCTCTTGCAGCTTGAATGTGAATATCAGTCTTTATTGGGTATTCTTTTCTTTACCAAAATCCCAGAAAAAGAAAAAAAGACTTGAAGAGAATAAATATAGAGCCAATACACATTACCTACAGCTTTGTATAGTCCTTTAGTTCACTTTGTATTACAGAAAATGTTCTCTTTTGCAGAATCCCTGGATGGGAAAGAAATTCAAGAAATGGAAAGACGTTTCTTAATTAATTGGAAAGCCTCTAGAGCTGCTAGGAAAAATAGCAATGAAAGAATGACTGATGAACATGCAGCCCATGTAGAATTTTGTAAGCAAACTAATCAATTATTTCATGCTTATTTAAAACTTACAGAAATCATAAAATTACAGCAAAAAAAAAAAATATACAAAGAATTGTTTATTGGACACTTGTACCAGTGATGAGTCCAAAAGATTTGAGTAGAAATTGAGCTTTTCAAATATAAAATTTAATTTTAGCACTAGTTCATATATAGTTTTTTTTTTTCCTCACACCCCAAACTCCCAGAATTATGGAAAGGGGTAGCTAGTGCATTTTGATTGTGTAAATATTCACATTTACTTTCATATTTTAAAAACATTAGACATTCTAGAATAAATATGCATAAAATATATCAGACTTTTAAAATCTATTTGCTTATACTTTTTTGATCTCTGTATATTGTCAGTCCTTTAAAGGCCTTTGCAAGATGCATGTCTAGCAGAAGTCCAAGTTTTAACTTGGAAAGAAAAAAAATGTCTGGGAGGTACAAAAGCCTTAAACCCTTTTTGAGGTTTAAAGGCAACCTGTTCTTCAAGTGGGAAAACAAATTAGTTTTGAAACTCAAGGAAAACCTGAAATAAACTCTGCTGGTTTTTTTAAATGGTGGGAAGGTGGTGGTTGTTACAGAGTTGACTGCAGGTTAAAGCATAAATGACTTAACAGCATGTCTTGCTGTCTTGCAGGACTTGGATACAGACATTTAACTTGAAATTATTCAAAATGGTTTGAATTTCCATATTTATAAAATAAAATTGGGGGCACTTACACTGCTGCTTTCAGAAGATAAATTAATACAGTATTTTTGAAGACATGAAGGCTGATGTTCTGCCTGCCAGCACCAGCCCTAAAATAATTGGAGTCTGCTCATTGTTTGGAAGCCACATCTAAGTGGCATCTGAAAAACTACTGATATAAGGAAGTGCTATCTCATTGAATTTACTCCCTTTCAAATAACTTTAGCTGAATGGGAATACCTGTTTTAATATTCACCTTCCTCAGTGTTTGCAGCACCTTCTGTAATTCCATTTAAAGTTTTCCATTCTCAAAATGGAATGGAAAAGTTTTCCATTCTCAAATTTGAGATATCATACCTTAAGGTTCATTACACTGTTTTCTGTAACAAGATATATTGGAACCTTGTGATCAATCACACTGAATATATATGGTTTGACTTGGGATATTGAATTAATCCTTTTTTCTTTTTTTTTCTGCAGCTGACTTAGAAGCAGCTTTAGTCACAGTTCCTTTTCGCCCCACTCACTCTGTGAAAGAAAACACAGATTTTTTAGATTTGGCTCACAAGCAGAAAGTTGAAAGAAAACCTCTGCCAAGAATCCGTGAAAGAAGAAGTCAGATGTAAACTCAGGTGTGTTTCTCAAACAACTTCCTTTTAATTAAGTTGGTTACTGCTTGTCTGAAATAATTTTTTAACCATGTTATATTTATTGTCTTTATTTCTTTGAGAGACAGGATAATATATTTCAGTTTCTGGTTACAAATCGGTGGACTAGCTAATAGCAGTAACTTTAATGTTACTGGTTTCTGTCATATGCATTTTATTGTAATCATTTTCCACAAAGGTAAAATAATGTTGAAGTTAATTCTCAGAAGTAAGTTAAGGTGTGAGGACCACTGGTGAAGGGTGATTCTGTGGATGGAATTATCTGGAGGAGAAACAATTAGTTTTCATCATTACAGTTTACTTCTAACAGCCATGGTCCAGTTTCACCTGTGGCAATAGTACAGTTAAGTATTTGGGACCTAATATCACTCCTTCCAGATTTTTAATGTTATTTTTATCCTAATAGTTTTATTACTTATCAGCTGAACAAAAAAACCTACATAATTTATACAATGCTGTCGATAAAATAAATAAATGCATGCAACTGGCATGGGTGGGGTTTTTTTGTAATTAAATTAGTAAATGTAGTATTCTATTTTACATTCAAGTTAGAATTTATTAGTATGTTTGACAATTTAACTGAGCAACATTTAATGCTATTTTATTTTTGGCACCTTACCACTTTCCATTCTATGAGCATTGTTTATTCTGATTATTTGTTCTGATTAAAAATAGCTGCCTTTCTGTTGAGAAGGGAAGAAGAATTGCAAATCACAAAGCTGCTCTCTTTCAAATAATAATTTCTGTTTATCATATGGCATATATTCTGGTCTAAAAGAGAAACTGAATTTGTCATATATGTACCTGTTATTGAACTTTTTTTCTTTCTCAGAAAGCACAAAGAAGTGGAGCAGTTAAAAACAAGAACTGCAGGAACAATGTACTCATTATTATAAAAACTAATATTGTTAGTTTTAAACTATTATTTTCCAGTGAATAACTCAGGCTTCTGAAATTTAAAGGGATACAGACTAATACTCATGCCATATAAATGTTGGGATTTTTAAAATTCTATTGTAAGATGGGTTTGTCCACATGCTCAGTGTTCTGTCACCTTGCATGTCATCTCTATTAGCATCCTGTCTTTTGGGCCAGGCTGAGTAAAACTGTGTTTTGCATTTACCATTCCCCTTAGTCCTAAAAAAGAATGGAACATGCATGTACAATATCTTTTCTCCTGTAAGACCTTCTGCTATTCCCTTTGAGACAAAGCATTCTGATTCTGCTTTACAATGGTAAAAAGCTGTCCAGTTGTTGAACTTCTTTGCTTGGCAAATATTTTCTCAGTATTAAAAATCTGGAATACAATCATGGCTCTGTTGAAATCCCTTTCGACCCTAGAAAGGCAAAGAGAGCACCTTCCTTACTTGATTGAAATAAAATGTCTATATTTTTATTAATTTACTTTTGTAAATTAAACAATTTAAGTGATTTTTTTTTACTGTAAATCTAGAAAATTTTAGTCTGATTTCACAGAAAGGTTAGAAGAAACTGCAGTCAGATGACATGCATTTAATATTTTCTAAAAACTTCTAAATGGGACTTTTAGATGCTGAAGGTTGCTGTACCTTACAATTTCACATGTAGTCACTGATCCTGAGATGTAGTCTAATCTTCTTAGTAGAGGAATTCCATAGAAACCAGAGTTTTAAAGTTTTGTGAATTCTTTAGAACATATATTGGGAAAAAAAACACCCAAAACGTCAAAAAATAGAAATATTCATTCTCAAAGCTTATGCAGATATGAAAAAATGACAAATCATAGTATTCCCTTGCCAGATTCACTAATTAGGGATATACATGAATGTGCTCACAAGTAAAGGAAGGAATTTTTTTCAAACTGAACAAATACCTGCATTGTTTAATTGAAATTCAGTATCGGACCAAAGAAATTAGTGGGTTTTAATCCTAACCTCTATGTTAGTCAAATAAATTATTCCAACAGATGTTTCCTCTTTCCCTATACATACTAGGTGATGTTTGACCCTGGCAACTGAAAAATAGGCATTAAATACCTTTCTAATGTACATCTAAGATCCACTGAGGATTGCATGTAGCTTGAACAATGAAAAAACCCACTTATTACTAGATTACTAAAATATGTCATTAATCTTCCCTTTTTGATGATATAAAAACAATAGCAATTTTGTATTGAATTTTAAGTTAATTTTAGACATTCAGAGAAAATTATGGATATTGGCAGGAAGTAATTAAAAGAAACCAAATCACTTAACTATTTTAAAGATACCTAATACCTTCCAATGGGATACACCACTATTAATGTTCCCTGAGTAGAGAAGTTGTTGAAATTTTGATGTTGTAAACTTAATCTGTAACCAGCAGTTTCTGCCCACATTGCCTTACTCAAGGAATTAAATATTGTGGTAGATATTTGTAGCAATTCAGAATGTGGTGGGAAAGTCACCTTTTGTCCCTCCATTGTATGTTATGGGATTAGCAATGTGGAAATATCTTTAAATTATACAGTCAGCATGTAATAAATATGCTGTTTTTGTGGCAACTAAACATGAGCCACTCTGCTGCCACCATGCACATCATGTATATTTCAAGTTCTAGTCCAAAAGGAAGGAACTTGCAGTGAACAGTGTTAGTTCTCCCTCTTCTGAGGCAGATGCTTGTATGAACATTGTATTTAATTAATTAAATATTTATCAATGCCCTGAGTTGTGGCGATATGTGTGGTCTGAAATCTACACAGGATAATGGATATTTGATAACAGATATGAATGTGCATGTTCTGCATGTATACTGGGTTTTTGTTTATATGAATCTAGCTAGCATTATAATAAATAGAATTATTACGGCCTGCGGCCTATGACAGGTTTTTGGGGTGAAGTGGTACTGAGACTATAATATGTATACCCAAAACATAAACTTTGTAGTCATACACTTCACGTTACAAAATATAGCTCTCTTATTTGAGAGGGAGGTGGGGAAATATGTTACCTCTGGGCAACCTAATTCTTGTTTGCTTACTGAATATCAATTTCAGCAAACATCTGAAAATTCAAAAATAAAATATATCCTCAGTCTTAGCTGCAGGAGAAGGAGAAATACAGATTTAAGACATAAACCAGGGCAGTTTTAGCTGTGCACCCTCGAGTTGATTTTAGCAGTGAAGAGCTTACAAACACTCCAAATGTATTCAGAATTAGGTGCATTGAACAGTTAGAGATACCAGCTGGAGCACTTTGCCAGAGCTGAGAGCATGCTTGGAACAGACATGGAGTGCCTTTTCCAGCAGCCCGTTTCACTGCCTTTCCTTGGTGATGGTGTTGAAGGGAAAATGTAAACATCTTCTTAGTGAGGTCTACAAAGTATCAATCAGCATTTAGTGCTGAAGGCTGTGGAAGAGAAATGTAAGGAATTTACTTGCCGTTGAATTGCTCAGCCATGACATAGGATATGAAAGGAGTCACCACAATGCTAGATGAAGTGTAAGGAAAAAGAGATAAAGTGAAGTTCTGAAATTAAATAGGGTTGCTGAAGCAGAGCCATTTGAATGAAGGTCGGGTATTAGAAGTTTCTGGTTACTGTGGCCCATGTAAGGTCTCAGCAGGCAATTCAGCCGGTTCCCTTTTTTTTTCTTCTTTTATTTTCTTTTTTTTTTTTTTTTTTAATGGAGAATATGCACTATCTGTAAAAGTGAGTGTAAATACTTTTGCAGAGACATAATTAATATTACAGTAATCTGCAGCCTAGTGGTATTTTTGGTATCCATATTTACAGCCTTGCTGAATATGGTGCTGGATGATTCTCCCCATGATCATTCATACTCTGTTCAGAAGCAAAAGTGTAACTGTCATTACAAACATACAAGACACAAACAATGTCATTGTCTTCTGTCTAAACTTCTTTCATTAGTGATAATTAAAAAAAAAAAAAAACAACAAAAAAACAAGAAGAAGTAGGTCTACTATATGCCAAATCTGTAGTGCTTAACACTGCCATGTCATCCAGTGTCCTAAAGGCAGTGATAAAAGGCATCCGTTTTTCCGGTGCCCTGCCTCCCCACCCCCGTTCTCTGTGCTGCTGCCTGTGCCCAAAGCTGAGGAGGAGTAAGGATCTCAACTGCACTGGCAGAACACGTGCACTGATAGCCCCTCTGTGCCCTTGAAAAGAGTACATTCTTTGAAACCAGGCTGAGAGCACATTTGCTGGTGAGCAGATTGCCAGCTAGACTATGCATACTCCTACATGTCTGGCTGACCAGATAGAGCATAGACACATTCTTGATGGGCAATCTGTCAGGAGCACATTTGCTTGCAATAGTCTGCTCCCGCTTCCAGGAGATAGGGGCTGTTTCCTAGACATTTAGAAGACTGAATGGCACATGTGACTTGTCAGCCAGTAGGTGGCCAGCAACTTACCAGGGCACATCTGGGGCTGCAGGCTGTCAGATGCTCTCAAAAACATTGAAACCCAGACTGTCTGAAACCTTCTACATAAAATACATGAATATTTAGAATGCTTTACGTTGGAAGATCATTGAGTCCAACCATAAGTCAGTAACATTTTAAACAGAATGCAGAATGAGTAATATTAGTGTGAGTAATGTCTTGTAACTGGGTCCATCGAGACTGTATCAGGAATTAAATACTATTTTAGGATGGTAAACAAAAAGCAAACTCAGATCTTTGCCTATCTATTTTTCATGTGTTATATGCTCACCCTAATAGTAACTAGATAAATGAAACATTCAGTATGTAGTATTTATTTTTTTATTATCCTTAGATCTTTGTTGTCAGTACTTTTAGAATACTGTTGAGATAAAACTTCAAAACTTCATAACATTTTTGGTCTGCTGTATTAGCATTGCACATTTTTTATTGTGTAACTGACAAAATTATAAATATCACTTTAATAACAAAAATATGAATCTAATTAGAAAACTGTTAAAGAAGTAATGCTGTGGTTTTAGGTTTTTAAAATACATATCTGCATGGGAGTTTGAAAAAGTAATTTGAGGTTAAAATAAA